CCCCAAAACCCCAAAACCCCTTAAACTTAGATTAAACATTAGATAGGATTTTATTAAAATGATTTTATATATTTGATTACTTTTATATTTGTATTAATACACTCATTAATTTAGCAAATTAAATAATATTTAGAAATGATATAACAAACCAATAGTGATTTTTTAACCTGTATATGTTGCAACAGATTTTACAATTTGGTCGAGAGAGTACCAATATAACTACCTTGCGAGGATGTCATCTGCCAATAATGCTACAACATTCAAAAGGATTAAGTTTAGAACTAGCAGATTTAATGTCCCTTTGATATTACCCATCTTTGTGATATTAATCATCCGATCAGAAAGCCTCTGTATTTAATGAGAAATCTAGAAAAGCATAATTTTCATTTGATTGTTTGTACTCAGCATCCAACAGAGTATGCTAACATATATTGCAAGTAGTTCAATAAAATCATTTGTGCTAGATGCTTTTAATAAGAACCTCACCCCCATTTCTATAAAGATTAAACAACTCATGTTTTTATAGACAGAAAATACTTTGAAGAATCATTTGAGAAAATGATTACTATAAACAAAAATGAAATAAGAAAAATTTAGAATCTGTAGGACAATATATAGCAGTTCATAAATAAGGAGAGAAACTTCACTTCTGAAGAAATTTAGACTATGATTACTAATAATTACAAAATCATACAATAATCAGATATGGATGATAAATAAAAGCTATTACTGTGTAATAAGCCTACAATACTAAGCATTATTTCCAATTTTTCGTAAATTATCTTCAATATTTATATTTCAGTGAGAGCTACGAGGAACTAAATTAAGTTGAAGAATAGGAAGAAATAAAAGAAGAAATAGTATTATTTGCTAATGAGCTTGAAAAAAATCAAAATGTATAATAAGAAATAATCATATAAGAATAGAAAAATTATCTTGAAGCCTTAACTATTCAGTATTTGGATGAGAATGATTTGCTTAAATACTATGAGTTCAGAAGATTGATAGAGCTTCATGTCAGCAAAGACAGAATTATTTCTAACCTCTTGAAAATAAAAGGTTCAACAAAGCTTTTGTATAAAGCAACAAGAGATGGTTTTAAGGCAGCTAATTTTCATTCATTGTGTGATAATTAAGGGCCAACTATTACTTTCATTCTGAGTAAATCAGGAAATGTATTTGGAGGATACACTTCAGTATCTTGGACATGTCCTTAGAAGAATGAGAGTTACGCCGATAATAATTCTGTGATATTTCAACTTAATTTGAATAAACAATATGAAAAATTTCAGCATCTAGATTTTGCTGTCTAGCATAATAAAAAATTCCTCATGATCTTTGGTAGAGGAGATATAATTATCAATTAAGACTGCAATGTTAATTCTGAGAGTACTTCAGAATTAGGCTAAACTTATGAACTTGCGAAAGGAAGAAATCCAAAAAATAAATTGACATAACAATATCTTGCTGGTAGCGAATTTTTTCAAGTTATTGAAATTGAAGTCTATCAAGTAAAACTTTGATTTATTGATTCTTAAAAATAATCATAATTTGTTTAATTCAATACTCTGATATCTTTGTGATAATTGAAGTATGGGGTTTTGGGGTTTTGGGG